TTTTTTTTTTAAGCTGATGCTGTGTTATAGAATGCTGCTCGCCAAGTTCATCTCTGTAGAGTAGATTTAAAAAAAATCAGTAGATTTTTGTAAGTGTGTTGGTGTTAATCCAGTCCTCTGTGAACGGTCAGGACCACACAGAGTTCATGACATTTGCATTAGCAGATCAAAGCGTCTTACAAGTTTTATGTAAATGCCTGTTTTAGTACTTGCCAAATTTTGGCCAATTTGTGATTGGCTAATGTAATGAAAGGAAATAAGGAAAAAAAAATACTATTACTTTCTATTGTTAATATATAACCTTTAATAACAATAAAATGTTTTTATATGCATTTTATATTAGGGTTGCAAAGGGGTGGAAAATTTCCGGAAACTTTCCAAAAATCCCTAGAATATTCCAAAAAATCCTGGAAAGTTTCCAAAATTTCTGGAATGTTTCCGAAATGTACTGGAAATTTTCCACCTTTTTGCAACCCTAATTTTTATTATTTAAAAACAAAACGAAGACTAAATATTGACATTCCATACCATGGAAATCCAAACATTATTAAAAATAATATTAAAGTACCATGGCATGAAACAAACAAACAAAAATAATTCAAAAATTCAAACATGTATAACATAACACTATGTATATTATTATAATAATAATAATAATAATATATGTTTGCATTTTGTTTCCATGCTGTGGCATTTTAGGATTAAGGTGCAGTAGTATGAAAATAAAAATGCAAACATTAATAAAGTAAAATATTTATTTATATTATAATAATATATTTGTTTTTACTAAAACAACTTCAATATTCAAAAATCAAACCTGTCTTTTTATTGTAATGTGTAAGAAATATTGAGAAGAAATGTATATAAAATTATCTTAATTTACATTTTAAAAATTCTTTCAGTCTATTTTATAGTTGTTTAAATGTTTAAAATATGAATTGGATAAAATGGTTTATTTTAAAATCAGCAGTTGTGTACGTTTACCATGAAATTGTATTGTGTATATGTCACCTTCCTGTATATATTGTATCTGAATTGGCCATTTAAAAGAATGAATAAGTGAAGGTTTGTTTCCTGATGGCCATCAAACATTCATGTGTTTTGTTGGAACAGAGAGTTTGCACGGGGACTGTGTGACGGCGCAGCTGAGTCGACTCATGTGGCTGTACCTGAACTCTGGCCAGGAGCTCTTTCTGCAGGCGCTGAAGGGAATGGTGCTGCAGTGCGCTCAGGCCTGTCTCAGCCATCTCAACACGCTTCAGGCCTGACCTCATACACTCACACAAACCTTTTAAGTGTTTTAACTGCCTTTTTATAACATGCCTATGATTGATTTTTTTTAAACTGTTTTTAGACTTATTTTTTTGCAACCTTCACTTTAAGTTGTCAGTCCTCCGGTTTTAGTGCACAAAATCATTCATTCTCAATTTATGTCTGAGTAAATGCAGTGCACATACAACGATAATCGTTTTAGCATGCCAAATGATCTCGTCTCCTTTTGAGATGCTTTTATTGTAACTATCATGTGACTTTTTACTTGGGTTGATCTTACCATGGTAGACTGCAGGGTTGCTGATTTATTAAAGCACCTCTATGCTCCACTTAAGTCTTACTGTTTTTCCTTAAGTTTTGAAAAACCCTGAAGTACAGATGAAACCAGTGCATTTTTATTTTTTTTTTAAAGTTAGTTTCTGGAGAGAATGCAGTTTATATAGTTGCATATAGTTTTGAAAAATGTGTAAATTCATTTGACATAGCAAGGCTTTTTAAGTGAACTGCAACAACTTGATACCTTAAATGTTTTTTTTTTATTTAAAAGCTTTAATTTGAATTTCGATTGGTCAAAGCACCTGAAATAGACTTTGACCATTTAATTTAGAAATGTAAATGAAACGCACACACTATAGTTTACACCAAGGTTTGAATGTGCATCATTCATTTTCTTAAAGAAAAAAATGTAATCTACACAATTTTTTAAATCAGTTATTGTTAGCAAAAACATTTCAACAAACCGATGTAGAAAAATACTTTATTTGACATTTGTACAAATGAAAAGCATTTTACAAAATGGAAAAATAGTTAATACTTTTGAGAACAATTTTTTTTTTTTTTTTACATAGACCTTTGGCGTTTGTAAAATCTAGCTGGAAAATTAAAAGCTTAAGATTTCAAAGACTGATGAGAAACTCAAACATACTGTTAAGCCAACCAGTGGCTTTCAGTGCACAGTGAGTGGGTCATGTCAACCAGTGCACATTGCTTTTGTATTCATATATATACACAATTCAGCATGCGGTCACACTGTCCTCTAATGCACAATGAAGAGCACCACATCCATTCTCCATCTGGTTATGAGCAGCTCTCTGCCTGAGAATAAATATGCATTGCATGTGGCTTCGCTCGCCTGCGCCTTTATGAAATAAACTTCTTGTCTCTGCCAGTTATGGAAAATACCCTTCGATGTCATACTGTGGTTCTGCTGCATAGATTCGTAAAGGCACAGAATAATATTACATATCTGCAGAAACGCATAATAAATGCTGGTTAATGTGAGGTTGCATAGCGCAGCGTGCATCTAATTAGTTACCTTTATCTATTCCCTCCTTTAAAAAATAAAAAGTAATTCTAAACCTATGCACAAGATATTATGAGCACATAAAAACATGCTTAATATACTTTAAATACAATGAGAGTACAGTCACGATACATAAGCCGTATATAGATGCTTGTACTGTAAATATCTTAAACATTCGTCACCTTGGTGCAAATACGTGTGCAAAGCTTGACATGACCGCATCGCTGGACTTTATAAAAAAATTCTGCTTGGGGTCAAAATGAACTTAATGACACTTAAATCCCTTCTGAAAGCATTCAGATCACGAATAAAAGAAACTCTTAAAATACCTGAGTGAACAAGTTTTGCATTGATTTCGTCCATATGTCTAAGAAATACATGTTATCTGGAGTATATAAAATGTCATAAGCATGTCACAGGAAGTGCAGAACATTCCGTTTCCTGTCTGACTTTGGAACTCAACACCGAACTGTGCCGCCGAGTTAAAAAAGCAGCTCATATTTTATTCCAATTAAAAATAGTTAATCGGCATCCTGAATAGAGTCACCTGGATTCCTCTGCTGTCATTTATTTTGAAATGGAACATTGCTCGTTTTTATGGAAGCTCAAACATACTAAACCACACAAAATGCAGGATGTTGGTGATGAAGGACTTTTCAAATGCTGCTGTTCCTGACCGTTTTTTCGATGTAGAGGGTCCTGAACGTCGACCTGCGACCTGTAGCTGTTGGGTAGAGGATGGACCAACTGCTTTGGGTAAAATAATTCCCTGACGTTCATGAAGTTTGGAGGTACACAAACAGAAACACAAGGCACTTTAGGACACCAGTTGCTCTATTTTCCCTCAAAGACGACTGACCGGAACAGCGTGAGGAACTCAACCTCAAGCAGTCTCAACAAATACAATAAAACATTCAAACTCCTTGAAAATTCAACGTCCACAAGAAAAAACAAAACAAGAAACTTGTTGTAAAGACGTCCTTGTAAACTGGCTTCACAGCTTGGTCCAACCAACAGGTTGACTTTATTTTCCCTTTACGAGCTCTGGGAACGCCGTCTGTCCTGACAAGGTGGAAATGCCTCATTGCGTCACGCAGTTTTCGCCCATGTCCTGTGCGTAACGATCCGAGATGAGCGTCCGCAGCTCGTCAATGTCTTTCCTCAGCTGGCACACCTCCACCAGCTTGGCCTGCAAGCCGTCCTCCATCAGCGGCTTCTCGTTGTCCTCCGCCGAGCAGCTCATAGCTGGAAAAAAGTGTCACAAATGGGAATTTTCATTCTATTGGCTGGTTTATGACTTTATAAATGCAGCACCAGATAAAGTACCCATATAAAAAGCGCATTTATTCTTAATTATGAAACTGTTAATGCCTTTTAAATGACATTGCTTTTCACGTCATATTAGCAAAGCTAAACGGATGAAATTAAACATTTCTCTTTCTTTGTGTTTTCAGTTAAAGTGCTAACAACTTAGCCTACTAGCCTAGCATAATGCTAATAGTTAAGAAAAGGATTTTAACTGCTATTCAAAAGTTTGAGGTTAGTAAGATTAAAAAAAAAAATTTTTTTTAAACAATCTCTTGTGCTCACCAAGGCTGCATTTAATCATAAATATAGTCAAATTTTAATATATTTTAAAATGTAATTTATTCCACTGACGACAGTTGAATTTTTTAGCATCATTACTCCAGTCTTCAGTGTCACATGTTCCTTCAGAAATCATTCTAATATGCTGATTTGCTGTTTAAAAAAATCTTATCAATGATTATCATTTCTGTGAAAACTTACTTTTTTTCCCCCATGATTTTTTGATGAATAGAAACTTTAAAAGAACTGGCATAATGCTAATAGTTAAGAAAAGGATTTGAACTGCTATTCAAAAGTTTGAGGTTAGTAAGATTAAAAAAAAAATTTTTTTGTGCTCACCAAGGCTGCATTTAATCATAAATATAGTCAAATTTTAATATATTTTAAAATGTAATTTATTCCACTGACGACAGTTGAATTTTTTAGCATCATTACTCCAGTCTTCAGTGTCACATGTTCCTTCAGAAATCATTCTAATATGCTGATTTGCTGTTTAAAAAAATCTTATCAATGATTATCATTTCTGTGAAAACTTACTTTTTTTCCCCCATGATTTTTTGATGAATAGAAACTTTAAAAGAACTGCATTTATTTAAAATCAATGCATACTTGCTGAAAAAAAAATCATAAAAAATATGGAAACTTACTGACCCCAAACTTTAAAAAAACCCACCATTAATGTTAAAACACTGTTAAATGTAATCTTTAGCAAGTCTCAAAACAAATATCCATTTGTCATACTGTACATTACAATATTGTGATGCATAATTTGACTTGCAGCATTTAAAACAATTGATTTTAGTGTTCTACTTTTAATTAAAAATATTTAAATATGAAGTGAGAACTAAAATATGAAATTTAAATAATAATAAATTAATAATACTAAAGGTAAAGTGCAATATAAATTTCGAGTTACTAGGGATGAACAGAATTTGAATATCTTAATATCTAATTTAAAATCAAACAAGTTTATTATGGATTATTAAATGCTACTGTAAAAAGATAATATGCTGCTAAGGCTAGAGTTTTCTATGTTATCGATGAGTATTTACATTTGATGCCAAGCAGCAGGGCCAGGTTGGGCTCTTTGCCTTGAGCTCTCTGTGTGAGGACACTGCACAGGCCCTTCAGATCCAGCAGACACAGGGACATCTCCTTCAACAGGGGCCTGGGGGTCACATTCAGCGTCTCCTCGTCTGGCCGGCTTTGGTTCTGTGGAGATAAAAATACAGAAAGAAAAACACGCAGCAGGGTGAATCAGGACAGAGCCTTTCAAGGGAACATTCAGAGTTTAATTTTAAATTATGGAAGTACAATGAAGCCCCGACTTGTCACATTTGCCACTGGAGACTTGAGAGAATGGTTATTTTCACCTTCAAATGCTATTACGGACACAAAGAATGTGTCTGAAGTGTGATTTTCAGAGTTTGGACTGCAGCGTTGATGATACAGATTATCAGCGTAACTCATTCCCACTTATCAGAGCATATTCAAACAAGCGCTACAAGACAGCATTTTACGCCTGCAGTGTGGGAGGAACTTTCAGAGTTTGGACTGCAGTGTTGATGATACAGATTATCAGCGTAACTCATTCCCACTTATCAGAGCATATTCAAACAAGCGCTACAAGAACAAATTCATAAGCAGCTGTTTGTGAAAGCTGTCCAAAACATTAAACAGTGAGAGGTGGAATTACTAGCACTTACACAGCAGGACTACAGCAAGAGTGGAGGAGAACGTGTGCCCTGATCTATTGGGGACGGTGGGATCAAATCTGCACGTCAGCGGAGAACGCTTGCTAATTCATTCACATCTAGCCAGAAGAGAACTGTTCTCTGTGGCGAACATTATAGAAGATGCAGATATTCATTTACATACACATGAGGTCATTATGAAATAATACTGAACAGCATCAAGCAGCTTTGCAAGTCATTTCACACAGCTAGAATGTAGTTGCTCGACATTTAGTAAATGTTTTTAAAACTATTGCTAGAGCTTGTACAATTTCCAGAAAATTGACAAGGAGAAAGTGAGCACACAGTAAAGGCCTATTAATTAGAGAGTTGCAACAAAATTACACTAAGTGCACAAAACAAAAAAAAACAACAACAAAAAAAACACAAAAGCTGCATCTGAAATCACATACTGGTTTTACTACTATTAAACTACTGTTAAAAAATTTGGGCTAGGTGAGAATATGAAGTGAGAACTAATATATGAAATTAAATTTAAATATTTATAATATTAATTTTAAACATGAAGTGACTAGGGATGCACAGGATTTTTATTTCTTAGTATCTAATTTACAGTCAAACAGCTGGATTACTTATAATGCAAATATTAAAATATGAAAAATATAAAAAATACTGTAAAAATGAAAATGTGCTTGTAAAACTCAGTGAGATTACTTTTCATTAATATTTTTTTATTCAGCAAGGATGCACAAAATATAAAAAAGCTGTTCTTTTGAACTTTCTTATTATTACAGAATCCTAAAAAACATCATAGTTTTCACAAAAATATAAAAAAATAGGTTTATATATATATTACGCATGCATATATTTAAGAATTTTTTTTACGTTTATACATTAAATATATTTATATATAATATAAATATATACATGTAATTACATGTAAATATTTTCCAAATATATGCTGTATATGTGTGTATCTATATATACATAAATATACACAGTACACACATATATTATGTAAACAAAAACTTTTATTTTGGATGTGATTAA